GATTTAATAATGAAGGAAGTATGATAACATATAAAGCAAGAAATATAAAAATACAAATATGGGATAAAATATTAACCATAGAAGAAATATATAGTTACGAATTCACAAATAAAGATATATTATTAGGAATGCCATTTTTAGATAAATTATACCCACATATTATAACAAAAACACATTGGTGGTTTACTACCCCGTGTAAACAAAAATTAGGAGCAAAAAGAGTAAATAATAAAGTAAGAAAAACAACACCCTGGATTAAAGGAAGTGAAAAGATTACCCAAAAATTAGAAAATGTAATACAAATTCTCAACCACACAAATTCTCGACTTGCTTCATGAATAGCAATTATCTCAGCATGATTAGATGAAGTAGCCACAATTGATTGCTTAGTCGATCACCAAGATATGACAGTTCTTCCACAGGTAAACACATAACCTGTTTGAGATCGAGCCTTGTGTGAGTTAGATAAATACTCAGCATCAACATAACCAACAAGATCGGGACTGCAATTATTGCCATAAAATAAACCCATATCGGTAGTCCGTTTTAGATACCGCAATATGTGTTTGATTCCATTCCAATATCTCTTTGTGGGAGCAGAGCTATATCTTGCTAAGACATTAACTGAAAAAGTTGTGTCAGGCCTCGTAGTATTAGCAAGATACATTGGTGCACCAATTGCACTAAGATATGGTACTTAGGACCAAGTAGCTCTTCATTCTCTTCTTGAGGTCAGAATGGATCCTTATTCACAATAAGTGATCGAACAACCATCGGAGTACTTAATGGATGTGCTCCATCCATATAAAACCATTTCAATACCTGTTTTATGTAGGCAGATTGATTAACAAAAATTCCAAATGTTCAATTTGCAAACTAAGACATAATTTTGTCTTTCCGAGATCTTTCATCTCGAATTTATTCTTTAAATAATCAATTGCCTTTTGGAGTTCTATAGGAGTTCCAATAAGGTTTATGTCATCAACATATACGGCAAGTACAATAAATTCCGATGTTGTTTTCTTTATAAAAACCCATGGGCAAATGACATCATTTATATAGACTTCCTTTAATAAATACTCACTAAGACGATTATACCACATTCGTCCTGATTGCTTTAGACCATACAAAGATCTTTGTAATTTAATCGAAAATATTTTTCCGGGACTTTGAATTATATGCGTTAGGCATTTTAAATCCATCGGGAATTTTCATGTATATCTCATTATCAAGTGAGCCATAGAGGTAGGCGGTAACCACATCCATTAAATGCATAGCTTTTCATGAACAACAAAACTAATGAGATAACAGAACGTTATAACATCTATAACGGGTGAATATGTCTCTTCATAATCGACACCAGACCTTTGTGAAAATCCTTGTGCAAGAAGGCGTGACTTATATCTTTGTACCTCATTTTTCTCATTCCTCTTGCGTACAAGACCCATTTATAGCCAACAGGCTTAACACCATTAGATGTTTGGACTACAGGCCCAAAAACTTCACATTTTGCAAGTGAATTCAACTCTGATTTGATTGCTTTTTGCCATTTTGGCCAATCACGTCTTTGTCGACATTCTCCAACAGATTGAGGTTCAAGGTCATCACTATCTTGCATAATGTTAGATGCAACATTATATGCAAAGACATAATCCACCACTATATCCAATCGATTCAAATTTGTCTCAATATCGATTGGATTTATTGATAGTTCCTTATTTTCTTAAGTCTTGGGCTCAGTGGTTTCCTCATGAATCCCAGAATTTATTAAATCGTGGATTTCTTCGTGAGACTCTTTCGTAGTGTCGTTTTGATTATTTGTTTTCCTTTTTCTAGGATTTTGATCCTTAGAACCTAATGGTCTGCCACGTTTTAGGCGTGCTTTTGACTCATTAGCTATGACACTAGAAGATTGTCCAACAGGGACATCAATACAGATTGGAACATTCTCTGCAGGGATATGTGATTTTGTTATCCTTTTCAGATCCGTAAATGCGTCTGACATTTGATTTGTTATTTTCTGCAAGTGGATAATCTTTTGCACCTCTTTTTCACAAATAGAGGCACGTGGATCAAAATGAGATAATGTTGGATTTTTCCATAAAATTTCCCATTTGGTTTCAC